TTCACTTGTCCGTGTTCGAAGCCCCACTGTGCGTTAAGCTCATGGTTTTCATTTTGTGTGGTGTAGAATTTCAAATTTTGCATTTTTAATGATTTTATCAGATTTTTGCTTTATTTTAAGTTCATTTTTCTGCTCATCGTTCAAAAGCCGAAACAAAATGAGTAAGGTATTCAAGTTGCCAATAGTTTTATACTCTTCTCATTTTCGTTGTAAAACACACTAAAATGATAATTAAGATCGGCATCACATCGCTTGAGCATTGAAGTAATTAAAGGGTAAACTTTTTATGTATGCATGCATTTTTTTTTTTAAGTAAATACGTTTGTTAGCGCGGTTAAACTTGGCGCCGATTTTGTGAGCGCCAAGCTTTCGATCAAACAGTTTAAGAGGCTGTTAAGAATTATAAACAAACTCGAAAAATTAACCTATTATGTATCACTATTACTTTTCCTCTCATTTCCCCTTTCTTTTTCTTACTTTTTTAGATCTCCAAAACTGCTGCTGGTGTCGTCGTCCTGTGCCGGATAATTCCCCTGAGTTTCTCACCACTTCCGCTACACGCTATTGTTCCGAATCCTGTTTCACGCAGTCTCGTCGCGCGTCCTTCAAGAAGGCCAAAACCTGCGATTGGTGTAAACACGTTCGCCATGCCATCAGCTACGTAGACTTTCAGGACGGTGCCTCACAGCTCCAATTTTGCTCTGACAAATGCCTCAACCAGTATAAAATGCAGATTTTCTGCAAAGAGACACAGGCGCATCTGGACATGAATCCTCATCTTCGCGAGCAGGGTTTGGAAGCCGTGGCTTCCGGTAATGGCACTGGCCTTATAACGCCCGACTTGTGGCTTCGCAACTGCCGCAGTCGCTCCGCATCACCGGCATCTACACTCTCCGTCTCGCCAGGTCCACCGGGTCCTACAGTAATTATGCCTAATAATACCAACTTGGCTACTGGCTCGTCGTCGTCACCAGGCTCTTCGGCCGCCTCAAATTTGGGACATTCGTCTGCTACGCCACACAAGCCCATGATCTCAGTAGCGCCCGTATCGAAGCTTATGTCAAAGAATGTAGGCATGTTGACTTCGATGCCGGTGCCAACATCGAATCGAGGCTCACCGAAGCACAACCGCAAGAAGCGTCCTTTGCGTTCCAGCATAAGTGGCGGCGCAGGCTCTCACGCAGATTTGTCTTCCGTCTGCGTGAAGGGAAGTCTCAATGCAATCGCGCGCGATGCTGGCTCTTCAACTGCTTCTGTCGCATCCGGTTTGCTGGGCAAAGCAAAATCGTTGCTTGGTGCTACCTCGAACAACAACTTGCGCACAAGTCCTGGTGTACATTTGCCGCCAGCTGGTGCTAGTGCGTCCAGCGCAAAACCGAGCGCGTCCGTCCTAAACCAATTCGCGGGCTCCAGCGTGCAAGATCTGCACATGAGTGTGCCGCCCCTATCGCCTATGTTGGAGCAACAGACGCCACCGCATCCATTGCCTCCGCACGCGCTGAATGCGAGCGGACATGGGCCTACAACCATACCACCGGCTTTCTTCGCAACACCACCCGGCCCGCAGCCACCGAACAGCGGCGGACCACATCAGCAACTACCTCCTGGCGCTTTCCCACCGCATCCGCCTGCGTTTCTGTCAAGCCCAGGGGCGCCAACTGCTCCTGGCATGCTGCCGCGATACCCAGGAACGGGTTGGTTTCCTGGATTTCCTCCGCCTCCACATATTACACATCCACCGCCTGATTTGGTAGGTGGTTTGGGACTCGGCGCCCTACTGGGTGCACCGCCGCCGGTAACAGTCATGGTGCCCTATCCTATAATTATACCGCTGCCCATACCAATACCAGTGCCACTACCAGTAGT